GCTTTCTGGGAGCATGATTTGTTCGGCTCTCTAGGGGGGCCTCTGGGGGCTTACCGAGAGGCGCCTTTTGGCCTTGTCGGCAAGCCTATTGGAAACATGGTTGGTGCGGCGGGCGGAAGCCCAAGGAATCATGTTCCCGGAAAGGTATCTGGGAAATACGATTCACCGAAGTGTCTTGGGGTCCCGCAGGGGGCTTCCCTGGGGGTCCCTTGGGGGCCTATTGGGGGTCCAGGGGGCCTCTTGGGAGCCTCTTGGGAGCCTCATGGAGCTTCTTAGGAGCCTCTTGATGGCCTCTGGGGGCGTCCTAAGAGCCTCTCAGGCCGGAGACCTCGAAATGTCGCGCTCTTCGGGCCCTCTTGGGTCGCTCTTGGAGCTCTCTCGGGGCGCTCTCGAGGCCCTCTTGACTTATCTGGGGAGCTTCCTGGGCCGTCTCTGGGCTTTCTTGGGAGCCTCTTCGGCTGTCTTGGAGCGATCTGAAGGGCCTCTGACGCGGTCTGGGACCGTGGGGAGGCGGAACATAGGAGAGCGCAAGAATGGTTTTAAAACCATTGGAAAATGTATGATTTTTGGCTTCTGGGGCCCTTTGGAGGGGCCTCTGGAGGCGCTCCTGGGGCGTTTTGGCGGCGTCGTCGGCCGTCCTGAGGCAATCTTCGGCGTGTCCAGGGCCTCTGGGGGCTGTCTTTGGGCGTCCTGGGAACCCAGGAATCATGTTCCCGGAGAGGCTTCTAGGAACATGATTTCGAACGGGGCCCTCTTGGGCCTCCCTGAGGCCGTCTTGGGGGCCTCCTGGGCCGGCTTCGGGGCCTCTTGGGCCGTCTTGGGGGGGTCCGTGAGCCCCACAGGCCGACCCTTTGGGGCCGTCTAGGGCCCTCTTGGGTCTCTCTTGGGCTGTGTTGGGGCTCCTCGGGGGCGTCTGGGGCACTGCGAAGACGAAGCAAGGGAGTATACTGAATATGTACGTTTCACTACGGGGACGGGCTGATTTTTGCCTCTTGAAGGCCCTCTTGGGGCCCTCTTCGGCCATCTTGAAGCCATCTCGGGCCCTCTTGGGGCCTCGCTGAGGCTGTCCTGGGGCCCTCTAGGGGTCGAAGGGGCCCTGGGAGCCCAGAAGCAATGTTCCCGGAGAGGCTCTGGGAACATGATTTCGAACGGGGCCTTCTTGGGCCTCCCTGGGGCTGTCTTGGGGGGTTCCGTGAGCCCCACAGGCCGACCCTTTGGGGCCGTCTGGGGCCCTCTTGGATCTCTCTTGGGCTGTGTTGGGGCTCCGCGCGGGAGCGTCTGGGGCACTGTGAAGACGAAGCAAGGGATTATGCTGAAAATGCGCGTTTTACAAAGGAAATGGGCCGATTTGTGTTTCTTGAAGGCCGTCTTGGGGCCTTCTTCGGTTATCTTCAAGCCATCTCGGGCCCTCCTGGGCCTCGCTGGGGGGCCCTGGGAGCCCGGAAGTAATGTTCCCGGAGAGGCTTCTGGGAACATGATTTCGAACGGGGCCCTCTTGGGCCTCCCTGAGGCCATCTTGGGGGCCTCCTGGGCCGGCTTCGGGGCCTCTTGGGCCGTCTTGGGGGGGTCCGTGAGCCCCACAGGCCGACCCTTTGGGGCCGTCTGGGGCTCTCTTGGGTCTCTCTTGGGCTGTGTTGGGGCGCCGCGCGGGCGTCTGGGGCAC